GGTTTACTGTCTGTATTTCTTTCTGTCTGTCTGTTTGTCTGTCTTTCTTTCTTTCTGTCTGTTTGTCTCTCTGTCTTTCTTTCTGTCTGTCTGTTTGTATATCTGTCTTTCTTTCTTTCTTTCTGTCTGTTTGTCTCTCTGTCTTTCTTTATGTATGTCTGTTTGTCTCTCTGTCTTTCTTTCTGTCTGTCTGTTTGTATCTCTGTCTTTCTTTCTTTCTGTCTGTCTGTTTGTCTCTCTGTCTTTCTTTCTGTCTGTCTGTTTGTCTCTCTGTCTTTCTTTCTGTCTGTCTGTTTGTCTCTCTGTCTTTCTTTATGTCTGTCTGTTTGTCTCTCTGTCTTTCTTTCTTTCTGTCTGTTTGTCTCTCTGTCTTTCTTTATGTCTGTCTGTTTGTCTCTCTGTCTTTCTTTATGTCTGTCTGTTTGTCTCTCTGTCTTTCTTTCTATCTGTCTGTTTGTCTCTCTGTCTTTCTTTCTGTCTGTCTGTTTGTCTCTCTGTCTTTCTTTCTGTCTGTCTGTTTGTATCTCTGTCTTTCTGTCTGTTTGTCTCTCTGTCTTTCTTTCTGTCTGTTTGTCTCTCTGTCTTTCTTTCTTTCTGTCTGTCTATCTGCTTATCTATCTATCTATATCTATTGCTACATCTGCCGGTCAATGTATTTATCATTCGTTTGTTTACTTATCTATCTATTTTATACATACATACATACGCACAGTACTTACATATATACATATAATACACACACACACACACACACACACACACACACACACACACACACACACACACACAGAATGGCAGACAGACAGACAGACAGTCAGACAGACAGGCAGACAGACAGGCTGATAGACAGACAGACACACTGACTGACTGACTGACTGACTGACTAACTGACAAACAAACAGACAGACAGACAGACAAACATACATACATACATACATTCACACACATACAAACATACCAACAAAGACAAAAGCATACAGACATACATACATGCTACGTACAGACAGACAAACAGACATATATTGACACACACATACATACATACCTACAAAGACACAGACATACATACATGCATACGTACAGACAGACAGACAGACATACACTCACAGACAGACAGACAGACATACACTCACACACATACATACACACCTACAAAGACACAGACAGACATACAGACATACATACATACATACATACATACAAGCATACAGACAGACAGACAGACAGACATACATACAGACAGACAGACAGACAGACAGATAGACAGGCAGACACACAGATAGACAGACACACACAGATAGACAGACAGATAGATAGACAGACAGATAGACAGACAGACAAACACACAGACAGGCAGACACAGACAGACAGACACACAGATAGACAGACAGACAAACAGACAGACACACAGATAGACAGACAGACACACACACAGATAGACAGACAGGCACACATATAGACACACAGACAGACAGACAGACACACAGATAGACAGACAGACAGACACACAGATAGACAGACAGGCACACAGATAGACAGACAGACAGACAGACAGACAGACAGGCACACAGATAGACAGACAGACAGACAGATAGACAGAGGGAGAGCAATAAGAACAGGAGAGGATCACCAGCGGCGCAACCCGCCCTCTTGTTGACTTCCGTTTTCATCTTCAGCATCTTTGTTTATTCGTGAGATGAAGATGCGAGTCAACACACTGTGGCATAACCTCCTCCTGATCTTCCCTTTCTTTTTTCCTGATCCTCCTGCCCCCCCCCCCCCTCCCCCCCACACCACCTCTTATGCCTCCTCTTTCCTCTCCTTCTTCTTCTCTTTCGTCTGTTTTTTTTTTTTTTTTTCTTTTCTTTTCTACTTTTTTTTCTTTTTTTTCTTCTTCTTCGTCATCATCATCTTCATCATCATCATCTTCTTCTTCTATTACAGCTCATTTCCTTTCGTTCTTTCTGATTCTTACTCATTCCTTCTTTCTCTTGATGTTTCTCCTCTTCTTCCTCCTGGTCCTTCTCTTCCTCGTCTTCTTCCCCCTTTTTCGTTACTTATACATCTTCTTTCCTTCCTTTTCTCCCTTGCAGTTTTCTTCATTCGTCTTGTTCCTATCTTTCTTCTCACTTCGAATACCTCCCTTTCTTCCCCCTTCCTATTTTATCCTTCTCTTCATCCCTCCTCTCATTCTTATCTTTCCTTCCATTCTCTTCTTTCTTTAGTCTCTACCTCCTCCCCTCTTTTCCTATTTTCCGTCTCTTGTTCTTCCTCCTACACTCTATATTCCCCCTTCACCTTCCTCCTCCATTCTCTTTCTCCAATTTTCTTATTTGATACTTCTCTCTCTCTCTCCTCCTCTTCTATTCCCTTCTTTCTCTCTCTCTCCTCCTCTTCTATTCCCTTCTTTCTTTCTCTCTACTCCTCTTCTATTTCCCCTCTTTTTTCCCTCTCCTCCTCTTCTCATTTTTTCCTTCTCTCTCTCTCCTCCTCTTCTATTCCCTTCTTTCTTTCTCTCTACTCCTCTTCTATTTCCCTTCTTTTTTCCCTCTCCTCCTCTTCTCATTTTTCCCTTCTTTCTCTCTCCTCCTCTTCTATTTCCCTCCTTCTTTCCCTCTCCTTCTCTTCTTTTCCCTCCCTTCCTTTCACCCCCTCCCTCTCTTCCTCTTTCTATCTCTTCCTATCTCTCCTCCATTTCCCATTCTAGCTCCTTCATCTTCAAAGTCAAGAATAATAAACAAAAACACTTAATCCAAACATTTCGCGATGAGTTTATTTTCACTTTGTAAACTTACATGGATATTGTGAGAAGGAAGGAAAATGGAATAATTTGATAGGCAGACAGAGTATTAGATAGATGGAGGGATAGAAAGATAGAGTATTAGATAGATGGAGGGATAGAAAGATAGAGTATTAGATAGATGGAGGGATAGATAGACAAAGTATTAGATAGATGGAGGGATAGACAGACAAAGTATTAGATAGATGGAGGGATAGATAGACAAAGTATTAGATAGATGGAGGGATAGAGAGACAGAGTATTAGATAGATGGAGGGATAGATAGACAAAGTATTAGATAGATGGAGGGATAGATAGACAAAGTATTAGATAGATGGAGGGATAGATAGACAAAGTATTAGATAGATGGAGGGATAGATAGACAAAGTATTAGATAGATGGAGGGATAGATAGGTTGGGGAATAAATAGATTTGATTGCAGGTGTTTTTATTTACATATTTTATTTTGTAAATTGATTAATAAATAAATGGAGTGAAAGGAGAGAAAGAAGGTCAATGAAAAAAGGTGAAAGGAGATTAAATAAAAAAGTAAAATGATAAACAAAGAAAAGCGAAACACTGGAAAGGGAAAAAGCAACAAAGGAAAAAAAATAAATAAAAACAGTAAAAAGGAGAGAACAGGAATAGAAGGAGAAGAGAAAAGGAAGAAGCATCGCTAACACCCTCCCCCCCTCCCCCTGACCCCTTCCCCTCTCACTCAAAACACAAAAAAGGGAAAGAAAAGATTTTTTTTTTTTTAATCATCGGAAAAAAAAAGCAAAAAAAAAAACGGAAGATGAACGTAATTATGAAATAACAATAACCATAACCATTACAACAACAACAACGGAAACAAAAGCAATCAACAAGAACACCCATAATAATAATAATAATGTTAATCATACCAATATCAGTAATGAGAAAAGTAATAATCCAGAAAGTGTATGTGTTCCCTCAGGCCTGAAGTTTCCTTTTTTAAAACAATTTGTAATCATAGATGCACACACACTTGTAAAAAAAAAAAAAGAAAAAAAAAAAAAGAAAAAAAAAGGGGAAACAAATAGGTATGGATGAAAATGTCTTCACGATACGAGATATTTCATTTTTATCCATTTTTTTTTTTTTTACGTTTATCAACCTGAATCCGGTTCATACACACACACATACACGCACGCACGCACGCATCCACACGCACTAATCCCCTCCCTCTCTCTCCTCTTTATTCCTTTGCTCCCTTCTCCCCCTCTCTTCTTTAACCCCCAACATCCCTTTCCCCTTTCCCCAATACACCCCCTAACCTTATTAGACAGTTGAGTTTTCCGTCATATCTCCTCCCCTCAGCCTTCCCTCTCAGCACAACTCCCCTCAGTGCTTTCCCCTCTCTCTCAATCCCCTTTACCACTACACCCCCCATCCCTTTTCCAGCATCCCCCACCACCGTAAACTTTCCTCTCCCTTGTAGTCTCCAACACTCCGCCCACAGCTCCCCTCTTTCTCATTTCCCCTTATCCCTCCCTCTCTCCTACACGCTATCCCCCTCTCTTATCTTCCTCTCTCATTCTCCTTACCCATCCCTACCTCTCACACTCACCCCTCCCTTTCCCCTCTCTCACATTCCCCCCTCCCTCTTACCTTCCCCACTCTGCCCTCTCTCACTCCCCTCACACTCCCCCTCCCTCTTACCTCCCCCACTCTCCCCTCTCTCACTCCCCCTCCCTCTTACCTCCCCCACTCTCCCCTCTCTCACATCCCCTCCCTCTTACCTCCCCCACTCTGCCCTCTCTCACTCCCCTCACACTCCCCCTCCCTCTTACCTCCCCCACTCTGCCCTCTCTCACTCCCCTCACAGCCACCCCTCTCTCACTCCCCTCACAGCCACCCCTCTCTCACTCCCCTCACAGCCACCCCTCTCTCACTCCCCTCAAAGCCACCCCTCTCTCACTTCCCTCACACTCCCCCTCCCTTTTACCTCCCCCACTCTCCCCTCTCTCACTCCCCTCACAGCCACCCCTCTCTCACTCCCCTCACAGCCACCCCTCTCTCACTCCCCTCACACTCCCCCTCCCTCTTACCTTCCCCACTCTCCCCTCTCTCACTCCCCTCACAGCCACCCCTCTCTCACTCCCCTCACACTCCCCCTCCCTCTTACCTCCCCCACTCTCCCCTCTCTCACTCCCCTCACAGCCACCCCTCTCTCACTCCCCTCTCCCTCCTTTTGCAGGCGTGATCCACCCGAAGAACCTGTTCCTCCAACGCTACTACCAGAAGGTCATCAACGACGCGGTGCTGAACCTGTCCAAGATGAACCTGCAGTTTCTGAGGTCGACCTTCGTCATCAACAGCACGATTAGTATGGAGACAAACCCTTCGCCCAAGT